CAAGTGCTGTTCAAGACATTTCCAAAAAATATGCCTATGTATAAACATTCATGAGTAATACTGGTTTAACAGCTCTGGTGATTTGTTTCGAAACATCCCTAATGTTGTGCTCATCATGGATACAGATAGAAAGGAGGTGCTAGTCCTTGAAATAGGTTGTGTTTATGATTTGTGTTTGGACATATCCTTTTTAGAAAAAAAAAAAGACTAAATACCAACCCCTCCTTGCAAAGACCAGTGACCTAGGATATGCATGTAAGTTTGTGGCTTTGATATTTGGCAGCCTTGGACTAAAGACTGGCAGGGCTACCAAAAGTAGAGTCCAAACAGCTGGCAAAATGTTGCTCTATATCTGCTGTGATAGGCAGCCTTGCTGTGTGGCGTAAGCGACCCTTGAATGTTATCTCTGAGAATATTTGAACCCATTCTGTAAGAAATTTGATTGGCGGATTCAAATAAAGAAATCAAATGTGTGATGTGTAGGTTTAGGGGTCGGTGTAGTGTGTGTGTGTGTGCGTCAGTGTTAGAGGAAGTTCAGCATCCATTCCCACTGCAGGGCTCTTCCTGCGCTCTCCTCGAGGGATCAGTTCTTATAGTGCCAGATAATAACACAGGGTTTGTGTTTGAGCAAAGACTCTCTCTCTCACTTCACTTCTGAGAGATATTTCATCCAATGGCAGATGACAGGAAGGGAATCTGAAGTGGCCGCCCTATTTCAGCATTCATGTCCTTTTTTTCTTGACTTTTTGTTTAGTATCCTGGAGAAGTAATTGAACTGACATGGATTTATTTAAGCGTAATGCGGCTGGAGAAAGACAAGTGGTCAAGCTTGCAAATTCATGAAAATTAAACTGGACATCAGAATAAATTCTTCTCCCAAGAAGAATCAGTCACGCTTAGGGTTGGGTATCGTTCGAAATTTGAACGATTCTGATTCCGATTCCGATTCCTTGTTTCGATTCCGGTTCCTAACGATTCTCGATTCCGATTCTTTTAAAGGACAACTCCGGCGCTAATTGAACCTTTGGTCTAATTACACATTGTTACCTAGTCAACCGTTATCTGAGATTTGTTTTCATGATTGCTGAACGTAAATAGTTTTATCTCTAAAAACAGTTTAGCCTATAACGCTAGTATAACGCTAGTGTATAGGGCATAGAGTAATGACAAATAAAAATCGCTTGTTATTACCACTAACAAGGCTCAAAATAGCCCCACACTAACACGACAGCATAATAAGGGTCCCTACATTCAAACCGAAGCATTGAGAACTTTGTCAGTGTCCAAACAGTTAAATAAGAAGATATTTTATACACACAGTCAACTTCGCGAATACAGGAAGAAGCCATCTTGGAAAAATAGTCTCGACCAGTCAATCTACGAACGCCGATCCAAGTGCGCTGGTGAGATGTGAATAAGGTGATAAGGTGAGCGCGAACAGGCTACGTGTACATATTGAAGACAAGTAAACAGTTTGTGTTTCTTCTGGAAACAATGGACCATATGAGATTCTGCTCAGTTCAGCGCACTTGGATCGGCGTTCGTAGATCGACTGATAGAGACTATTTTTCAAAGTAAAAATTTGACTATTTTGCTCGATTCTCGATACCCAACCCTAGTCACGCTGGGCCTTGATATAGAGGTTCTTACAAAATGGAGTGCTAAAATGCGAATCCCTACAGTTTGACTAAATTAAAGTCAGAGAACAAATTAGTACAACTGACCAGCAATTGACCTGAAATGAGGGATCTAACTAACAAAACTTGGCAATGCATTTATAAGTGGTGGGAACAAATTCTCATTTAGTGTCCAGTAAATGTGAAGATCCAGCTTTTAATGTTGTTTACATGTCTATGTGTCTATGTCAATCAGATCGTCAGTGAGGGGATCTCTGAGTGAGTGAGTGGAGGCGGGGCTCTATACTAAATGAGGCAAGGGTGTCGAGTTACACTTAAGATATTTAAGAAGAAGGAATTATTTCGAATTATTTAGTGATCAATGATGAGTGTTACGGGATTCAATTGTTGACTACAGGATTGTCACCATTGCAAACTGGAATGACTTTCTTTCACCTTTGGCACACAAAAGAATATGTTTCTAGAAATTCTTCTATCAAATGATCTCTGAATCTTAGGTTAAAACCTGTGCTACGCTGATTTGATCTAGTTTCAAACTTCATGGCACAGAATAGGCGTGACTCACAGTGTTGAAGAAGTATTTTAAACGAGAGGTTTATGAGCCTTGAAAGCACGTTCTCGCATTGTGCTTTGAAAATGTCTTCAGTTTTTGTGCAGAAGTCAGACGTTTTGGTTTTTTGGAGAGTAAGCATAAAATGCTTTATGTGTACAAAACAAATATCCTGAGTGTTGGGAACAGGCCCGGTGAAGAGGGGTAATTGCCATATTAAGAGGAAAGAATTCAAAATAAAGTTAATCTTTCGCACAGAATGAACATGCTGCATCTTGTTCAACACACAAAGCACTTACAGAGACAGTGTAACTTAGACCAAGATGAAGGCTCTTCTGTGCCAGGATCCAGTTCAACCCAGTTTAGGATCAGGCCAGGAGAGGGTTTGACTTGGCACTGATGTGTTCATGTGTGTGTGTAGCTGTAGTTTACTAACTTGTACATTCCTCATACACACACCCCTTGCTAAAATGCTTGACTTCTGCAGTGACTTCTGCAGTACAAATTCTTTATAATCTTCATTTATATCGTGCTTTTAGCAATTTAGACTGTTTCAAAGCAGATTTACAGTGATAATGGGAAACGAAAGTAACAGAGATTGTTTGGCTTCACAGCAGCTCTAGATAAAGTTAATGTCCAGCTGATTGATTCACTTCCGATGCTAAGATCATTAGTTATTAACTAAGGGCTGCTTACACAACTCTGTTTAATTGAACGTGGAATGTGTTCTGGCCGTTCATTTGCACAACAACAGTGTTTGGTGGCTCGGGAACACAAACTTTGAAAGCGGTTCCAATGGGCAAGTTTTGAAAAATGTTGAACTAGTACTGATAACATCTTATTGCATTATGTGCATTACCATTTTAAATCAGGTAATTGTGGTTATTCCAGCATGAAGTAGAGCTTTTAAAAACTCGACTGAGCTCTTGCCATGGTCTAGCACAGGGGTTCTCAAGGTTTCAATCTCTTGAACAAGCTAAGGTCTTTATCATGAGTACTAGAAAGTCAGGTGAGATTGATCAAGGTTGGAGGTAAACTGGAGGATCTCAAGGGCCAGAGTTAAGAAGTCCTGTGCTGAACCTAAATCGCCCCCTATACCCTTAAATAGGGCGTTATTTGAGGGAACAGCCATTTGTAGTGGTGTTGGAAATTATAATGGACGTTATTGAGTGCACTCATTCAATCCCACAATGCACTGCAATAACGAGTGTACACCCAACGGCTGTCCGAATTCACTTACACTTACAAGTGAACAGTATAGACGAATCCGGCGAAACTACCGGAAGTAAGCGGGCGCCATTACTGAGCTGTTGCGCCATTGCCTCCTATTGTTTTAGTTGCAACTTGCATCCACTGGAATAAACAGCCCGCGATTTACGACTGTCACTAACGATACAACGTTACCCCTTGTATAATGTCGAGTGGGTAAACGGTTTCCGTTATAAATTGTTTCAATGGTGGCAGTAAAATTTTAATTTTGAAGAGAAAACATTGTGAATACCCCGGGTCGACTGCTCCTGTCTGGTGCCGTACGGTTTACACAGATTTCCTGGGCGAGTACAAGACGTGGACATTCGCGTATAATAACAATTATTTAATGACAAAAGTAAAAAATTATAATAAATATGTGATATAGTGATCAGCAAAATCTCCTCTCTTGCTATTTTTTCTATTCAATTAACATGCTATGGTCATTAAATGGCTTTCCTGAGCTAAATGTAACGTTATGTGACATAATTGTTCTCCTGTTGTTATATTGACCTCTTTCCATGGTTTAAAAACACTAATTGGTCGATATTATACTTTCTAGCTGTAACGTTTCCTTACCCTTGCCTGTTGCAATGTGAAAATGAGATAAATAATGGACACAAATAAAAAATTGTTTCATTTATTTATTTATTGTTGCCAAATGGACAGATCTTTTTATAGTTTCCTCGTTAGCAAACGTTAGCCTAGCTAGCTTGCCAAGCTATTTTCATAAATAACGTTAATCTGTAAGATCGTTTGTACCTTCATCTGTGACTGGAGGCCACTGCAGTCACAGATCAAACCAACAAGTCATTCTGCCTGGCTGTAGCTGTCATCAAGGGTGCGTTCGCGTTATCACCGAGGTTTGTTGACATACCGGTGCATATGTCTATGCCTGTGTAACAGCTCAGTAATGGCGTCGCCACAAGATGGCAGCCTACACAGAACGCTCGTCGGATTCGTCTATTAGTGGACTAACGTAGGGAATAGTAAATGAGGGTTTAGGCGGGTTTATTCTCCAACATATTAAGTCAATTTGACCTCAGCTCACATTCTTTCCCAATCCGTCTCGTCTGTCTATTGTGGTAAAAGTGGTAAAAGGGACATGAATCAAATTAAGTTAAAAGAAAGGGGGTTAGGGTTCGTCGTACAGATATACTGTAAAATGAAATTGCAGGACTTTTCAAGCACTACTTTTTGGGTTTTCGAGGATACATCTTTATTATCTTTCAAATTTCCTAGGTAAACCGATCAATAAAATCATACTAATACAACAAAATGGTACACAGCAGATACAAAGTATACAGTGACTGTGGTAACTTTAACCATCGAAAGGATACCATAGCCATGTTTTTTTTCAATGAATGAATGAAAGATGCACTGGGAATCTACCCGTAACTCCGAATGTGTACCAAAGTTGGTTGAGATGTTTGGGCATTTTTTTTTTCTCCGCAACAGATCTGTCATTTACGTAACGTAAACATTTGACTGTGTTTTTCACTCTGTCAGATTGGATTTCTGGAAGAGTTCGTAATGTATCCCTTCTGTTTCTGCCCTTGCCACAGTGGGTCCAGCCTGACTCGCAGAGAGGAAAAGAAAGGTCTTGTCACCCGAGCTGACGGATGGAGGCCCGATGTCTTTGCTCGGTCCCTCTTCACACACTCAATGGCTGCTCTGTTTCAGCGTAACGACGAGCCGGTTGGATATAATCTTGAGCGCTGGACTCAGGAGATCGGGAGGGATAGGGAAACGCTACGGTAGGCTTTGCCGGGAAGGATCATCTTTCTCCAGAAGTAGGAAACGAGCGTCAGAGGGTTCCTGCTGCCAGTCGGCTTTCTCCTCCTGTTACGACACGAGACCAAATGCAAACCATGTGTCCTCGCACCCGGTTAGCTGCTTTTGCCCACCCCTAGCATTAGCAGTCTGAGCGGATCCATTTCACCAGCCAAACGAGCCTCTCCGTGGGACTCCTGGCCTAATAGGCTGGATCTGTCCCATGTCCGGTCCCCGAAGATGGCGGCTATCCTCTGTTCGAGGGTTCAAGCTGGAGCTCATGTTTAGGGGTGAGTACAGTAGCCCACTTCAAGGGTCAAAGGTCACTTCCTCTTCAGATCTCTGCTTAAAGATGTGTTCAGGGAATGTCTTTTTGTTTAAATATGCTGAACTAATGTGGCACATAGTTGGGAGGTACGATTTGCTGCCTGGTGCAATTCCGATCTCTTGAAATGTGTGAGAATAATGTGTATTATTTATAACTTTGAGGCAAAAGTATGGAGGGAAGAAGTTGGGGCTTGCATTTTGAGGCCTCTTTAATGGACAGCTTTATCTTCGTCAGATATGACCCCTCAGCTAAGGACCATGGACAGCGTAATGACCAGGTCTAGATTGCAAAGGGAATGAGGAATAGATCATATATTTAACTAGAATTATACATCAAAACTTCCATTGTGGCATTGAGATGAAGATCTTATTTTACTTATGACAGAGCACTTAATCCTGCGGCAGCAATCTAATGACCTTGTGTTGAATAGATGGGCAAGAATGAACAACATGTTGAACCGCAAGAATGACTTTGTAAACATCAGTCAGCAACGCTCAGGAAGTCGGACAAACTATGTTCATGAGAGTGAAATATGTTTAACAGAAGGTCATGCTAGTTACTTATTTACTTTTTGTTTGCTTTGTGTGTCGGGACGGGTGATTTGAGAGCAATGTTGTGAGGACTGTTGCTGGTGAAATGATGTTCTTTGTGCTTACAAACGAGTACATTTTTTTCAAGATTCGTCTTTGAAGTAAAAAAAACCAAAAAACTATGCTTTCTCATATTATGTAAACAGCATTTCATAGTGATGTGGGATTAGGGATTAGCATTAGCAAACAGCTCCTGGGGTTCATTCGAGAGATTAGAGTTACTACTCATTCATCTGTCCATTCAGAGCCACCATGAAATCAAAATTGACAATTCCTATTTTTTAATTCATGTTCCTCATAATATCTCTTCTCTGATGAGGGCGGGGCAAACTGTCACTCGCATGAGATCCACCAATAGCAAGCCACAACCAATCCAATCATCTGACATTTGTTCTAGGTCGATAAGCCATTTCACTCAGCTAAACGTCAGACTATCTGTTTCTGATTATGGCAATACTTTATTTTTATGACAGCCTAAAAAGTGAAGTATGGTGCAGCCGGTCAGTAAATGAATGTGTGTGTGTGTGTTCTCTAGAAGACGTTGAAATGTTTGAAACCCGTCTGACCTGTGGCCTCTCTCATTCGGTTCCTTATTTCTTCAGCAGAACTTGTGTGTGAGATTAAAGCATGCTCACTATGACTGCATGCGTGTATTCCTGTTAAAGGCTTTATGAGAAGCAGTGTGACTGACTCTGATGGGTTCCTCCACGTCATTTCTGTCTGGACCAGACATCACCTCGGTCTCTCGCCTGAAAGCCTCTTGTTAGCAGATCAGGTGTCTTATTCACACAGTCATGATGGAAAGCGTTTAATGGAGACGCTTTAAGTAAATGTGCAGGGATTATCTGTGAAGACAAGGCTGGTTTTATCTTCACACATAATGAGGGAGAAGTGTCGGCATACCTGTGTCCTGTGTTTGATCACGTCTCACCCGGCGTTCCTCTGGATCTGGCTGTTCATTCCTCTCGGTACAGTCACCGGTTCGACCGCGAGAGAGACGAGGCATGATTACTCCGTGGGTTACTGTACACATGACTGTATGGGAAACACAAAAACAGCCAGGCCATTGTGCACGGAGAGTGATTCTGCCCTAAAGGCTGTCTTCAAATATTTCTCCTTACCCGTCACAAAAACCCCCCCACTAACGACCGATATTAGCTCTGCTCCAGACAAGAGTGCCTACCTAAGCAACATTTCAGGCCGAAGGCGCTTTCAAACAGAAGACAATTAGCTATTCTCCTTTAGAAGTACCATCGCTTTACATGGCACTGTACCATAGTAATACTGTTTGCTGACTTAGAAAATGGTATGAGAAAGTGTTAGCATCTGACACATTAACTGCACCGAAGTTTCTTTGATCTTTGCAATGAGCTCAGTTAAAAATGAGTCATCAAAATTCATTTTTAGTATTTTCAGATCTTTTCCTTAAAGGGGACATATCATGCAAAATCCACTTTTTTAGCCCTTGTTGTATATTTGGAGTGTTTATAAGTACAGAAAAGATGATTCAGGTGCTTCGTTTATAGCTTTATATTCTGTTTTGGTCATATTTTTCAACCTGTTCAGATTTTTCTATGACGTTTTTTGTGCAAGTGCGTCACCGTATTTGCAGCGGAACTGCCAAATAAGGACATCGACTACCGGCCCAACACTTCGAGCAGTCCGCCATTATTATTTCTCGCTCCGATTTTGTAGTCCGAGCTCAATGATGCAGAAGTTTCGAGAGGGCAAGTCAAAATGTTCGGTTTTTGGATGTACGTTAGTGACCTGAAGCACTTCAAGGATTCCCACTTCAACAACCTCTGCCAGTATAAAGAAGGGTTTGCCGATCGACTTCGTCTGAATGAGAGGTAAATTCCTTCTATCGTTGGAGACGACGAACAGAGCATTTCGATAAGCTGTAAATATCGTTAATAAAAATAAAGTACTTTACTTTCTTAAAACACATGGTGGTCATGGTTTAGCAGTACCTTTGTCTTGAAGTAACGTTACACGTCTGCAGTATTATTGTTGAGTTTCATCAATGGTCATTTAGCTGCTTTTCTGATGCTTTTCTAAACGTATCATATTGTCAATACAGATTTTTTTTTGTGGTAAGATTAGACCGTAGTCATTTATCTTGTCAGTGTGCTTGTTTTAACAAGAGAAATAGTCGACTTTCACTAATAACACAAAACAATTAACTCACATTGTTCTGCAGGTTCGTCGTCGTCTTGATCAACTCGCTCGCTCTGGCTGGAATATGTAAGGCTTGATGGACAAGTCTTCTGTTGTTGACATTTTATTAACGTGTGAATAAAAATGTTCTTTGAAGGTATCGTATATAATTGTATATCTCTAATCAAACTACAACAATAATGGCCATCGACCTGGAGAGCCGGCGGGGTATGACGCATCTCCTTTTTATTTAAAGGGGCCGCTTTGAAACGAGTCGCTCACAGACGCACATCAGAAAAGGGGTTTGTGGAGCTAAAATAATGAGGAATTCAGACCCAAGCATTGCAGTTATGTTTTATATCAGACCACAACGGTATGATTTATATGTAAAAATGAATGATTTAAAAGCATGATATGTACCCTTTAAAAGATGTAAATACAATGTCGTAATAATTGGTTACACAATTTAACCTGGTTAAAGAAAGAATTAATGAATGAATGATCAATTTCACCAAATATTCAGGGCCATATTTACTAAACAGGGCAATTAAGCGTGAGACCAAAATCCTATAAAAGTGGCAATGGGAGCGTAAATTTCTGCAGGAGAATCTACTAAATGTGCATGACCCACGTCGAGTCAATCCCAAATAGCATCCCAAATAAATGAATTCTCTTCCTTCTAGCTAAGGGAAACACCTATGCAATAATGTCAGCCATTATTGTGCCCAGGCCTTTTCAGCGCTAGTCTTCAGGAAATCTTGACAGTAGTTTAAGGAGGATTTGCTCTAGCTGTTAGTAAATCTGGCCCTTAATCTGTATTACCCTAGAAAATACGACGCATTTTATATTTTATATTCAGAAAAGGAAACAGCATGGAAAGTACAGACATTAGCCAACATTGGAGCTGGTGAACAGGACCCAACCACAAGTCTGTTCTCCAGTTTTTGTCTTTATTAGATATGACTGGCTCAGTTGGATTTCTTGACTTCTTCAGTTTCTCATTCTGCTGCACAACTGCTGCTTTCTGACAGCACTCGATGTCGATTCAGCCATGCAACTCTTTCTAATTGTAGTTCTAAAAGCTGCAATGTTGCAGTGTGCATTATATATTATTTAGCAGTGCACATCGTTATTTAAAAAGCAAAGAAAAAGAAGTGACGTGTCTGTGGCTACATCTCTTCTGTGATCAGCAGGAAATGTATTAACCAGGGACATAAAGTCCACACTAGAGGCTTAGAATCTGCTAGCTAGATCGCAAGTAACTCTAAACTCTGAACTTTATTCGTTTGCACCATTTGTTCTTATAAGGCAGAATGTTGGCTAGTAGGTTAAAGTCATATGACATTTTCCCTCAATGTTCCAGCGGGAGAGCTTGTGAAAGTTGTGTCGAAATGGTGTGAAAATCACTTTATCCGGGATCATAACTGCTTTTGCCTCACGTAAAAAGTATGTTTACATTAAAAGACCCCACTTACTCATGAATAACTTATTTTTTATATGTAAATAACATCCAGAAACTGTTTTAGAAATTAAAACAAAACAAAAAATTATATATGATTTATTATGCCCACAAAGATGGAACGTGTTCCTGTTGAAGAGCCGCTAACAGTATCACATGACTCGTAAAATGTAAGCGAGTGTATAGTCAATGTTATCATTTATGTCTAATAAAGCTTAAATAATTGTATTTAACTATGTATTTCATTTATACGTAGAGTTGCACTTCTACTAAGTTTAATGGGCAATGGAAAAGTTGTAACATGACATCACTTACACATGAATTAGCATTTAGCTAACGACAAGGATCCAATCAATTTCCAATGGACAAAATCAAGTTCCATAGTACATTTTTTCCTTGTTCAAGAAGCTCTTCGATTTGTTCAATGTTCAATTTCACTTGGACATACATCACAATAGGGTTGAAAAGACTCACATTTTCCCAAACCTTTATGCCTTTCTTTCTTAAACTGAGAGATCCTGAAGAATGTTCTTGTCTGTCTAGGACAATTAATTGTGACTGATGATATCAACCCAGACAGCAAACTGGCATTGAATCAACGTGGAAACGACGTCTCTCATGACATTGAAACAACGTTGATTTGCTCATCGAATTAACGTTGAACCAACATCAGACGCGGCATTCTTCAAAGCTAAATGAAAATCGAAAATTGGTTTGCTTTCATAACGTTGAAACAACGCGTTGATTTCAAGTTGA